GGGCGGGCGAGTGGAAAGGAGGCAATGGTGGGGGGGGGAGAGAGGAAATGCTGACGCGGAGTACTAGCGAGACGGGTAGGCGGTGCGAAGTGGTAGGGCGAAGGTTGCGATAAAGATCAGAATTTCGGATGTTATGAGAGGAGAGAGGACGGAGAGAGATGTTGGAAGCCAGTCGTGGGGGAAAAAGACATCGATCGACATGGACAGGAGGAAGATAGTTGTAAGTCCGGCGGGCGGGTGGGGAGACAGTGTGAGGCAGTTGAGCGGGAACCCGGAGTACGTCCGGGCGAAGGAACTGAACGGTGGAAGATGGAGGGGGAAGTTTGTAGGGAGATCGTGGCGGTACTAACTAAGAAGGGAAGAGGCAGATGGAAGTGAGATGGCAACTCATAAGGAGAGTAACCATGGAGGAGATCGAGGTGGGGGAGAGGCCGTGAAGTAGGAATGGAAGATGAGTGAAGCAGGGAAAGGAAGTGAGCGTTAGTAGGGGGACGATAACTTCTCACTTGACGAAGTTCGATCCTTGGTCGAGGACGAAAATGGCCGCATCAGTAGGAGCACCGCAGCGGCTGTGTTACATCTTCGACTCACACGGGTCCTACCGGACCCGACTTAGGGCCGGAGGGACACACCAGGGCCTAAAGGCCCGACCTTTTGGGGTTACAGGCCCTAAAGGCCTGATTTTGGACCAGCACCCATCGGGCAGGCCCAAACGACACTTCGTTTGGGCCTGGCGGCGCTCTTGAAGCTGCCGCCCGCCGATTGAGGCTGAACCGTCCATCGGGACGGTCCAGGGTCTGGCCTGGCCTCGCAGCATTGAGGCCAGACCATTGCCTACCGGTATAAGTACCGGTACCTGCCTCAGTTGAGGCATCGGCCTACCGGAACTCTACCGGCATGGCATGGTCAGTACCAGCGTACTGTTTGATGCGCTAAACTTAGCGCAGGGGCTGAAGCAGGAGCGCAGCATAGCCCGTTTCAATTCAATATTCGGACTTTTAAAATTCGGATTTCTGTTATACACGGTATGCTGTTTAATGAGATCCGAGAGATTGATACTAATCCAACATTCTGTTTGATTCGGATTTCTGGGTAGGTATTCGTAATTAGGGTTGAATCAGTATCATGTTTGAAATTCGGGTTTTTCTGATATGCATTCAGCATTCCGTTTTCGGCATTCTGTTGTAAATCCTATATTTCGTTTTTCTGTTGAGATTTCCGTTGTCTTTCAGTATGGGAATTAGGGTTATGAAAACCTTTTGGTTTTAGATCAACTTGGGGAAATCCGAACGTTTTGGGACCGTAAATTCCGGAAATTTCGCCGAAACGCGGAAATTAGGGTTGGGACCGAAATTTTCGCGAAATTTTTTTTTCGTTCTCCTTGTTTGAGAAATTCCGAAAATAGGTTTAGGCTTTTAAAAATCGGATTTTGATGGTGGAA